CTGTTTGCAGCCAATGGTTATCGAGGGCCACGATCTGTCGTCAGTATCAAGGTATCGCCTACCATTACATGCAGGGCTTGCTATGTCGAACGAGATATGCACGTGGGACTTTGTTCTACGTAGGGACGTTAAGAAACGGCAGCGAAAGCAGCTCCGTGACAACGTGCGGCTGACACTGAATGACGCGGACATAGATCCACGAGTTCGGCGTCTTCTGCAGTTGACACTGGATCGAATCCAAATCAAGAAAACTCGAAAGTTAGAGCATAGTTAAATTGGTGAAGATATCTGTATTCCAGTCTGTCAATTTGGATTTGCTGAATATCTCTCGCACCGTCTATGTCGTTCCAGAGATAAGTTCTTCCAGGCCATACCCCCAAAAGCCATGATGTCGAGGACTACCATCGTGCAACAGCTGCCGTTGCCGTTGGCATGTCACTAATGCGCCCAACATTAAAGTGCAGCATGACATAGTCAGGACACAGGAGAAGGGCCTGGCTTTGTAACATCTTGCATCCATCTTTGCTTCGCTTGTGGCGTATCTCTTCTTCCTTGAGTTCCATGGGTTCTGTCCCCACGACCTTTGCTCCTGTTGTGGGCTGAAGGAAGTCAACAGACCAACCACCGCCAAACGCGAACCATGCGTACGGATCGGTGAGCCTTGAAAACTAGAGTAGCGTTTTCATCCAACCAGCATTTAGAAGAGGGGCTCTCGCGGTTATTTAAATTATGCGGCGTGTCATCAGTTCAAGCGAGGCAAAGGCATCAGGTCATCCGATGCCGCCTTGTCCCACACAGGGCTAAGAGTCCGGAGAAGGCCGCAAAAACAAGCAACGGCCTCCTGATGAATCAAGCTACGACACATGTTCAGACTACACCGCATGAGTTCTTTGACAACGTATCTTAGTCACTATATCAAAAATAAATCTCCGTATTGTGCCACTACCTAGCCGACACGACGCTATTCAGCGTAACAATCTAATGCGATATCGAATCTCTTCAAATCCTCATAATCACCCGCTACATAAGTCGATCTCCTTCCTCATGTTCTGTCATATCGAGTACGGTGAAATATGAAGATCACTCTAGCCCTGTCTCGTTACAAAAAGGTAATCCCGTCTTTGGGGTGGAAGCACTTCGGCAACCTGATTTCCATGGTCTAGAACAACGACTGAATTCAGCCGTGCCTTGCTCTCGATAACGAGTGGAAAGATCGAAGATCTGGCTGATCTCTTCCTATGTCATGTCGTAGATCACCGTTCGTAGAGCCTCTTGCGTCCTATGCTGATGCTGGTTGAGGCTCACCCGCTGATCAACACAGGCGTTTTGCTCAGCCGAGAAGCTCATCAGAATCATGTTGATCAACTGAAGATTAC